CCACTCATTTCACCCACCCCATTCTTTCTCTGCCCGTCGTGCTCGTGCTTGGCCCGTGGCAGGTCGGTCTGCAGCACGCGGCACACGGTCAGAGGCTCGCCAGCGGCCGCGCCTCTCCCTCGTCGTCTTGGCCCGCCCCCACCCAGAGCACCAACCGGCGCGTGCTTGCCCCGTGGCAGCCCTGTTCGCTGCCGCCTGTCTCCTGGCATGTCGCGCCGTCGCGGTCGTTGCGGGGCTGCCGCCGAGCGCCGAAGTACCAGCAGCACGTGCCGTTAGCGGTGGGTAGTGAGGGCATGGAGTGCCGCGGAGGCGAGCGCGCGACCGTTCGGGAGTAGGAGGCGTGCGTCATGGCACGACGCATGCCGCGTCCCAACCCTGGCGCACGCGGTCTCGCTCGCGGCACGCGACACAGTGGAGGGTGCGGTCAGTGGCGAGGGCGCAGAGCGCCGCGGCTGACTCCATGGCGTCTAGGCCTAGGATGGCGAGCGCACGACCGTTCTCGCGGGGCGTCCGTCATGGCGCGGTGCAAGCCGCGCCCCGGCGCCGGCGCTCGCGGCCCAGAGGCGGCCATGCTGGCACTCGACACAGCGGACGACATGGCGTCGCCTTCAGCCGCGAGGGCGGCGACTACAGACACTGCGGCTCAAGGTGGCATGCAAAGCAGCGGTGACCACGTACGAGGTTCAACATGGCGAGCGACCCCGCGCGATTGACGGCGAGAGCGACCCGAGTGAATGGGTTCACGGCCAGCCCCTCGTCGGCCTCGTGGCGCGGGAAAGCGCGAAGCTTGGCGAGCAGAGCGAGGTGGAGGTGGAGCGCAGCGTCGTTGGATGCGGCCAGGAGGTTCACGTTCAACGGCACGGGTGCCTGGGGTGTAGAAGGCAAGCGCAGAGACAACAACCGAGGAGTCGTCCGGCCGGGAGGCCGCCAGCCCCGCCCGCGCCGTCGCGGCCACGCAACGCATCGGGCCCGTGCTGGACTCGTACGAGCGGGCGGCGGTTAGGGAGCAGATGTTGGGAAGTTGTGCAGCGTGCCGAACGCCGGCCCTGAGCCACGCGTTGTGCTCTGCTCTTGAGTCATGACATCGTGATGATGTCCTATACGCTCTTTTTTCCTTTGAAAAATTAAAGAAGAAATGTTTTGAAAATACAGCTATCCTGAGCCGTCCATCCTTTAATCTGTTGCATGAGGAGAAGGGCATGATGGTCTTTTCACATGTTGTTGATGACTCAGCATCACCCTGGTGTGCGGGCGTAGTCTGTCACATGAGCAAAAGTGATGAATATGTATTGATTTTCTCTCTCTGTTGATAAAACCGTATCGTCAATCAAAAACTGCTATCCCAAAAATTGTGGTCCGTTATAACGGTAAAAAGTTAAATATTCCTATACTAGGAAGTAGCTCGTGGGAACCGGGTGTTGGAAAACCATGCACAAGTTTGGCAGTTTGCTATGACCCATGTGTGCTCTGCACTTTTCTGCTTCAGAAAGCATGCATGAGCCGGAGTTGGCACTTCGGTGCATCCACAGGCTGCTCGATTGAACACCGCCAAAAATGTTGCTTTTGCAATTGTCAGAGGTCGCCGCCGAATTGTTACTTGTCGAAGTTGAAAGGGAATAAGCTGTCACTAGTGTTGTTTTGTCGGTATACCTGTGCGCTCGCTGTAGGCCTGTGCCAACATGTAGGTTGCACCTGGACTCCTTGTGCCGGCTGGTGAGCACAGGACAAAGACCATCGGTTCGTGGTCGAAAGGTGGCGCGATTTCAGTGACCAATCCCTGCTAAAATAAAGAACTCATGTGTATCTGGACTTGAGTTACCTTTTACCGTTTTACTTTTACCAAGTAGGGGTATATATGCTGTCGACACAGTAAAAGAGACGTATGGTGAAAGTGACGGAGAGTGGTGGTAGGTAGGTGAGCCATGCATGAACCTTATGGCTTTTCTCGGTGTTTTTTTGGTACGGCGTAGGCGGCGGCAAGAAGGTGACGCGGGTGGAGGTGACGCTGGACGGCGGCGAGACATGGCTGGTGTGCGACCTCGACCACCCGGAGAAGCCCAACAAGTACGGCAAGTACTGGTGCTGGTGCTTCTGGTCCGTCGAGCTGGAGCTCCTGGACCTCCTCGGCGCCAAGGAGATCGCCGTGCGCGCATGGGACCAGTCGCTCAACACCCAGCCCGAGAAGCTCATATGGAACCTCATGGTACGCAAGTTTTCATCTCTAATCTGTTTCTGTTTCTGGTGGATTGTTCTGATGATGATGCTCGACACAGGGGATGATGAACAACTGCTGGTTCAAGGTGAAGGTGAACGTGTGCCGCCCGCACAGGGGCGAGATCGGGCTGGTGTTCGAGCACCCGACGCAGCCGGCCAACCAGGCCGGCGGGTGGATGGCGCGGCAGAAGCACCTGGAGACGGCGGAGGCCGCGGCGTCGGGGCTGAAGCGCAGCACGTCCACGCCCTTCATGAACACCACCGACGGCAAGCAGTTCACCATGTCGGAGGTGCGCAAGCACGCGTCGCAGGAGTCGGCGTGGATCGTCGTGCACGGCCACGTCTACGACTGCACCAGGTTCCTCAAGGACCACCCGGGCGGCGCCGACAGCATCCTCATCAACGCCGGCGCCGACTGCACGGAGGAGTTCGACGCCATCCACTCCGACAAGGCCAAGGCACTCCTCGACACCTACCGCGTCGGCGAGCTCATCACCACCGGCACCGGCTACAGCTCCGACAACTCCGTCCACGGCGGCTCTGCCGTGCTGTCCCACCTCGCGCTCGCGCCCATCCCCGAGGCCGCCAGGGCCTCCGCGCCCGTCGCGCTCTCCAACCCACGCGAGATGATCCACTGCCGCCTCGTCGGCAAGAAGGAGCTGTCCCGCGACGTCCGCCTCTTCCGCTTCGCCCTGCCGTCGTCCGACCAGGTGCTCGGCCTCCCCATCGGCAAGCACATCTTCGTCTGCGCCACCATCGACGGGAAGCTCTGCATGCGGGCGTACACGCCGACGAGCATGGTGGACGAGATCGGACACTTCGACCTCCTCGTCAAGGTGTACTTCAAGAACGAGCACCCCAAGTTCCCCGACGGCGGGCTCATGACGCAGTACCTGGACTCGCTTCCAATCGGCTCCTACACCGACGTCAAGGGCCCGCTCGGCCACGTGGAGTACACCGGCAGCGGCAGCTTCGTGATCAACGGCAAGGAGCGCCATGCGAGCCGCCTCGCGATGATTTGCGGCGGGAGCGGGATCACGCCCATGTACCAGGTCATCCAGGCGGTGCTGCGCGACCAGCCGGAGGACCAGACGGAGATGCACCTCGTGTACGCCAACCGGACGGAGGACGACGTCCTCCTCCGCGACGAGCTCGACCGGTGGGCGGCCGAGTACCCGGACAGGCTCAAGGTGTGGTACGTGGTCGACCAGGTGAAGCGCCCCGAGGAGGGGTGGAAGTACAGCGTCGGGTTCGTCACGGAGGCCGTCCTGCGGGAGCACGTTCCGGAAGGCGGTGACGACACGCTGGCACTTGCCTGCGGACCGCCGCCGATGATCCAGTTCGCCGTCTCGCCGAACTTGGAGAAGATGAAGTATGACATGGCCAATTCTTTCGTCGTGTTCTAATTGATTATGACCGTATGTATGTAGCAGCCAATTAATAATTTATTAATATACGTACCACGCACCAGATATCTGTATATAGTGCCATCCAAAACTAGCCGACTTGCCATTGCCAGCGTAAATTTCGTGAGATGCATATGGGATCCTTGGAAGGGTTATAAGTTGTACACTTGTACTCTGCTCTAGCCTGAATTATGAGACTAGCTAGAGCAGCACATAGCCATACATGTTTTGCCCTCGGAATGTGGAACTTGTGAATTCTGAGGGTACTGTTTGTTTGTTTCTTTCTGTATACTACTACTAGCTTTTAATTATTGCTGTTAGACTTCAGACGGAAATATTTGAAAATGTTCTTTCTCTGACAAGACTGAATATGTTCAGTGGTTTCGACTTGAGAACTATATAGGTTCAACAAACTAGTTTGCACGGACTAGAATCTTATGAGATTTATCCATATTTAAAGTTCACAGAAAGTTTTCCTTAGAAAAAAAGAAATTTTATTCTGATATCTGAATAAGCAATGCACACAACCATTCTTTGTTACAGTTCCAGCCACTTATTCTTTTATCAGACAGGTTGCAACACAAGAATAGAATCATAAGCCACTTATTTCCTGCTGTTGCCTTAAAATCACATTTGATCAGACACACATCCTGATATCTAGTTTCAGACAGGCATCTGTATTAGGTATGTTCAATCCTGGATTCCTGATTGCATCAGGACCATTATCTTGCTCCTTTGGATATACCATTGCCTCCGAATTTATTTCTGGTGTATGAGCCATCATGGCGCACTTGAAAAGGAGCCAATATTCTTTTTTTTAATTTATTCCAAAAGAGTCTGTGCTCAAAACACGTGTATAATCATATTTATGTATTCTAAATGTTTGTATACAATTGTAATCAGTTGAAAAATGGTTACCCATGATAGCTGAGTTATGCTAGACTATCACAGATGGGCAAAATGATCGGTTCCATCTGAAAATTCTGATTTGTTTTGGTCCATATATATGACAAATTGATGCATCCGGTTGCACATTTTGCAAGTTGTTAGACCAAAGTGATAAGAGGATATAAAGTAGTTGTATGGCACGTGCAGTTACTTTGATATTAATATGGAATAAATAAGACTATAAACCAGATCCAAAAAGGTTAAAGGAAAAAGGGGAAGCACGGCACACGTACTGTGGCGGCCTCTGGTTTCATAATATACCGATGTTACACATGATGGACATCCTGATATACATTCTAGCAGATAAGTCTAGTAAATATCTAAGTAACGCTGACTTACTCCTATCTCTGAAGAAGCTGATATATTTACATAAAATATTTATTGGCTCTGTTCCTGCTGTCCTGCACATGACCAGAAGTTCTCGAGGACGGATTACTGTTGTAGAATTACAGGTAACAATACTGAAACAGTGGCAAAGAACGCCAACACAAATGATGTTGCGCTTATCGTGTAAAGCACCGGATCCTCCTGATCTGATGCGCCCACATCTTCCTCTTTTACCGGGCTGGAATCGGAGACGCACATACCCCCCTTGGATAAATTGTGAAGGTTGATGTTGCCGATGTAACTCTCCGTGCTGAATGTGCTAAACTGACCTGACCATGGCATGCATCCTGACAGGTTGTTGTACGACACTGAGAATACCTCCAGTGAACACAACTGAGTTAACTCACATGGTATTTCTCCACTCAAACCATTGTGGGACAAGTCCAGGCTTTCAATTGCACTCATGTTTGCAATGGTGGCTGGGATTTGTCCGGTAAAAAAATTGTTCGACAAATTCAGGGACTTGATGTTACTCAAGTTTCCTATCTCTAAAGGAATTTCTCCTGATAACATGTTTGCAGAAAGATCAATGCCAAACATATGATCGAGAAAACCTGAACTATATACACGGACACTCCCTTTAGTGGAGAATGTGAAGCTGATACTATACTGACTGGTAATAAACATAAATGATGGATCATCTATATTAGCCAACTCGTCCAGATTGGCTATTGAATCGTAGATTGAGAACAGAGCTTGTGTGTCGTATGGACCACGTCCAAATGAAATGTCACCAATACATGGTGGCAATGAACCCAATAGTTTGTTGTGTGAGAAGTCAATTATATTCAAATGTCGGAGATGACAGAGATCTGCAGAGATCCACCCCTCAAACCTATTTCCACCTAACAAAAGTAACTTTATCCAACGAAGAGACGGTACCCAGTCAAGATCTCCCTCATACTGATTATATCTTAGATCCAGAGCTGCAATATAGGAGCTATTGAGAAAATAACTCGGGTAACCTGACAGCGAGTTCTGAGACAAGTTCAGAAAAGTAAGTGGTAATGTGCCGATACAGTTTGGTGTAGACCCTGAGAAGAAGTTGGCTGACATATCCAGAAGTTGCATATTAGTTAATTTGCAAATAGCAGGGTCAATTTCACCAGTTAATCTATTGCTAGCAACATTCAAAACTTGCAATGAAGAAAGGTGCCAAAATGAAGCACTGAGTTGGCCTGACAATTTGTTATCATGCAGATCAAGAACATTCAGATTACCCGACAGATTGCTAGAGAGAGTTCCTTCGAAATTATTGCTGTCAATAGACAAATTGCTAGCCCCTCCAAATATCAGACCCCCAAGATTATTGCTGGACAGTTTCAATACTTGTGGGGGATAGTTGGTGAACAAGCAGCTTGGCACTTCTCCTGAAAGTTTGTTGTTCGACAGGTCTAAAATTTCCATCCTAGTGATGTCACATAGTGATGGTGGTATACTTCCATTAATGAAGTTATGAGAAGCATCTAAAACAACTAGATTCGGAAACACTAAGCTGATATTGGCTGGCAGCTGCCCACTGAAACAGTTCATAGATATATTGATGACTCGGAGTACAGATTTATGCTGCCACATTGAACCCAATGATCCAACGAGTGAGTTTCTTGCAATATCCAGATAAGTTAACGTTGTTGCATCTGTAAAGATCCAATTGGAGATGTTTCCGGACAAGTTGTTGTTAGACAAATCAAGAATTTCCAGATGACGCTGTGTGGCAAGGAAATTTGGTCCTGTGATGATGCTGTTGTCAAGGTCACAGCCAGATAACATGAGTGCTCTAAGTTGAAATAGAGGCATTTGTCCATGGAACTTCACATCAATAGCCAAATTGGGGTTCCGGCTCAAGCTTATTGTGTTGAGCATAGTACAGCTTCTTAGCCAGAAGAAATCAAACGTCCCATTTAGATAATTATCTGATAACTTGAGAGTCTGAAGTGACGAAGACATATTCGAAACTGAAGTTATAGGTATGTGTCCTTGAAGGAGGTTTCTTGAAAGATCCAAGTATTCAAGTAGTGGGAGCTCAAATAAGGAACCCGGGATGCTTCCATTCAATTGATTGGATCTTAAATGCAATTGTCTCAAGTTCTTCAAGTTTCTGAAATCTAGCATCATTTATGCATACCGTTAAATAAGTACAAACAACAGAAAGGTGAAGTCATATTACTGCTATACCTGTATCCTGAAGAGCACCACTCATGCTGTTGCTGTCAAGATTTATGACTTCAAGAGAAACCAACTTGCCGAGATATCTGAAGACATCAACACTCCCCATCAAGTTGTTGTCACTGAGGTTGAGATAACGAAGCTTAGTTAACCCCTGAAGACCTGAGGGATTTCGGCATAAATCAATTATTAATATGCTGATTTGGTAAAATCACTCGAAGAGAAGAAATAAAAGTAGTTACATGGACAAGAGGAGGTTACCATCAAAACTTTGTAAACAAGCCTTATTGTAAGACAAATCCAGCAGCTGGAGCTCATGAAATGCAGAAAAAATCGCCATGTCCAGATTCCAACATCCACCTCCGGTGGTTGAGTTCAGCTTGAGTTTCGAGAAGTTGAGATCTAACACTCTTGTGCTGTTGTTGCATCGGACTCTTTCCCATGAGCAGCAGTTATCTCTTTGTTTCCAAGAAGCAGGAACACTATACCTTTCCTCCAACGTAGATCGGATGTGTATGAGAGCAATTCTCTCCTCAACGATGCAGCCACATATCATGTAGAACACGGACATCGATATGATGCATAGAACCCAGAGCATGGTTCTTAATGGAGGGTAGCAGCTTATCTTCATCGGAGGGCAAGTGGAAGTATCAGTTCATCTATGATAGTGAGACTGAAAGGTTATTAGTTTCCCTTGCCCATTTATTTAGCCACGTGGTGACAAGAGTGAGGTTGGTATTTGAACACTTGTTTATTAGCCACATGGTGACAAGAGTGAGGTTGGTATTAGGCACTTCAGGACTTGGGGTTTTCATGCATGTGTTTCAAACTTTCAACTCTCTTTTTTGAACGGAAGATTATAGGAATGAAAAAAGCATAGGTTTAAAGTATCAAAGTCCTAAAAATTCTAAGATATAAGATACATCTTGACGATTAATTCGATACACTCTAATCTATCAGCGTGATCGGCTGGGGCTGGCTGGCTACCTGGGCTGGCCAGCCTCCTCACAAAACACTGTTCATCTAAACCAGCCAGCAGTACTTCTCTCTCACATAAACGAACCAGCAACGATACGAACCAGCCAACCGATCAGGCTCTATATCGGCAATAATGCAATGGTCTCTAATTTTCTACTCGTTAACCACTGTGTTGGAGTTGTTCGCCTCTCACATATGGAAATTTATTAATAGCTCTGTCATACATAACTTTTGCATTTCTTGTTTTCCTGATTCTTCAACAATGATGCTGAAATTATGCAATAATGTAAACGCTTTATGCGGTCACGTGGAAGTTTCTTCCATTTTCTAAAAAATATATCTAGATGCGGTACAAGGGGAACTATAAATGGACAAGAAAATGTATACATAGTAATTAATAACTAAAATCTATCATAGCCGGACTGTTAGAAACGATAGGCAATATAAACGACGAAGAACAGTAGATCAAACACAGGGGACACGAGATTTTAACGTGAAAAACCCTTTCAAGGAAGAAGGGAAAAAACTATGGGCACCAGCCAACAAATCTTCAATATATCGGGTGAGGTTACAAACGTCGGGAATTTATAACTTTTCTTATCCCAAGACGATGGCTTAGATGGAAAACCCTAATAGGCGATGATCCGTACCGTGGGGGCTCCGCCCCCCTAGGTGCGGTAGGGAAACATGATGGGCTAACTTCAGCCTCCGCTTCGCTTCGGCCCAAGCCTCCCGACGACGGGCCTCGCTTCGCTCCGGCAGAAGTTAGCCTTTATCTTGTACATAACTGAATTTGGATCACAACTCAACAAACTCCACCTTGAAATAAAATTCCTTCTTGTAGCATAAAACGAACCTTCACCCTGAAACAACCAATAAATACTTCCGGTACCAAATAGCCTCTTTGGCTAAACAGTTATACTAACTAAGCTTGAGCAAAGCTCAAACTTAGCAACATGAACTGGCTTTGTCAACATATTAGCAGGATTATCATGTGTGCTTATCTTACATACCTTCAGCTTACCTTGCGCGACCACATCGCGAACATAATGGTATTTGACATCAATGTGCTTCGTTCTCTCATGAAACATCTGATCTTTAGTGAGACATATCACTTTGACTATCACAAAACAAATTAATGCAAGAATCATATTCACAAAGCTCAGCAAACAAACCTTTCAACCAAACTGATTCTTTACATGCTTCAGCAACAACCATGTATTCTGCTTCAGTGATAGATAGGGCAACAACGGACTGCAATGTTGCCCTCCAACTCGCAGCACAACCACCAATAGTGAACACATAACCTGTGAGAGATCTCCTCTTATCCAAATCGGCAGCAAAATCTGAATCCACGTAGCTAGTGAGTCCCTTATCAGTCTTGTCAAACTTCAAACAAGCATTTGTTGTACCACGAAGGTACCTGAAAATCCACTGAACAGCCTTCCAATATTTTTTTACCAGGATTAGCCATGTATCTACTAACCAAACTCATAGCATATGATAAATCAGGACGAGAGCAAACCATGGCATACATCAAAGATTCAACAACACTAGAATATGGAACTCTCGACATGTATTCAAAATCCTCATCCGTACTAGCACATTGTAAAGCTGATAATTTAAAATGAGGAGCAATAGGAGTACTAACAGACTTTGCATCATGCATGTTGAAACGATGAAGAACTTTTTTAATGTAACTTTGCTGACTAAGAAATAACAAACCAGAATTTCTATCTCTTGTAATCTCCATACCTAGAATTTTCTTAGCAGCACCAAGATCCTTCATCTCAAACTCACTACTCAACAGTTTCTTTAACGTAGTGATTTCTTTCTTTCTCTTGGCAGCAATCAACATATCATCAACATATAACAGCAAATATATAGGTGATCCATCAACAAATTTAATGTACACACAGCTATCAAATTCAGACCTCTTAAAACCATGTGACATCATAAAAGAATCAAACCTTTTATACCATTGACGAGGAGACTGTTTCAAACCATATAAGGATCTCTTTAATTTGTAAACATGATCCTCCTTACCAGGAACTATGAACCCTTCTGGCTGGTCCATGTATATCTCCTCCTCGAGCTCTTCATGTAGAAACACAGTCTTTACATCTAACTGCTCAAGCTCAAGATCTCGCATAGCAACAATACCGAAAAATGTACGAATTGAACTATGCTTTACAACTGGAGAGAACACATCATTATAATCAACATCAGGAATCTGACTAAAATCTTTTGCTACTAACCTTGCCTTAAATCTTGGAGGCTCACTAGGAGATAAACCCTCCTTTCTCTTAAAAATCCATTTGCAATGAATGGCCTTTTTTGTTTAGGCAAGCGCACAACATCCCATGTGTCATTTTTTTCGAGTGAATGCATCTCCTCTTGCATGGCGGAAATCCACTTCTCGCGGTCACCAGAAACAACAGCAGTACGTAGCCGGCTTATGAATGTTCTCCACATGTTCAGCACAACTAAAAGCATAATGAACCATATCACATTCCTCAATTAAACGTGGACGAGGTCCACAATTCCTCTTTGTTCTACGATCTGCAATAGACTGATTTTGAGGCTGCAAAACAGGAGGTGAGTGCTGAAGAATATCATGAACATTGTTATCAACAATTTCAGTTTCCTGATCATCTACGTGCTCCACCTACACGCTAACATGTTGCTGCTCCTCATCAGAACCAACTGAAGAAACATTTATGGACAAGCTGTCATTAAACATAATAGATTCATTGAAAACAACGCTCCTGCTCATAAAAGTCTTTTTAGTTTCAGGATTCCATAACTTATATCCTTTAACTCCAGAACCATAACCAAGAAACAGACACTTAATGGCTCTAGGTTCTAGCTTTTCATTATCAACATGAGCATAAGCAGTGCAACCGAAAACTCTCAACTGTGAATAATCAGCAGGCATACCAGACCATACCTCAATGGGAGTTTTCTTATTAAGTGGGATAGAAGGTGATCGGTTGATCAAGTAACAGGCGGTGTTAGCAGCCTCAGCCCAAAAACGTCTGTTCATACGAGCATTGGACAGCATGCAACTGGGCCAAGCCTCTCGGCGACGGGCCTCGCTTCGCTCCGGCAGAAGTTAGCCTTTATCTTGTACATAACTGAATTTGGATCACAACTCCAACACGAACAAGATAAGTATTGTGTTATATAATAGAAACAAAGTAGAGATAGAAAATAGTACTACATATATGATTTCTAGAGACGGCTCCTTTTTTAATAGCAGCCGCTTCTAAAAATCATTCTCGAAACAAGCCGCCTCTATAAATGCATTTGTAGGGATGTCTACTATTTTCAGCCGTCTCTACAAATACCCCTATCTTTAGAGGCAGCTTTAGATGCATCGCTTCTATAAATGAATTTCTAGAGATAGCTGGATATAGTCATATAGAGCTGCTTCTAAAAATAGATTTGTAGAGGTAATTTGGATGTAGAGCCATCTCTAAAAATAGATGCAGCATAGTAAAATTTGAATTTTTCAAACGACCTCAGATAAGAAATGGCCAAAACCAAAGTTGTAACTCTCGAAAAGTTATACAACTTGGTTAACAACTTTATTATTTGAAATTATTTATCTGAGAAAAAATATGTTTAATTTTTTCACATTTGAAATTCAAAAGTTTTAAACGACTTCAGACGGAGAAACAACCAAAACCGAAGTTGTAGTACTCGACGATATCTATAAATTTGAGTTGAAAACTTTTTCATTTGAATTCAGTTGGGGTCCCAAATACTCATCTCAAAATCGGCTGTATACGAGGCAAATGTAGTGCCCATTAGGCACAAATGACTTTTGTGTGGAGTGGTTAGGAGAACTACATGGGAGGCTTGAGGTTGTGAGTTCCAACCCTTGCGGCCTTGTGCATGTGGCTGGTGGGCCCTTCTTGAGTTATAATTTTTTACTATTTTTTTGTCCAATTTATGATTTCCAAAAAATGATTTGTAGAGGCCGGCTCGTGAAACTAGATTTCTAGAGACGGTTGTCATTGCCAGCTGCCTCTACAAAATCAATGAGGCGCGCATCCGCTGTCTATAAATCAATTTGTAGAGCGGCTATAAAACCACCTCTACAGGTCATTGATTTGTAGAGACGGGAGAAAGCCTCTATAGAGTCGCCTCTACAATCTCGGAATTGAAATTGGTTTAGCACAGGGTCAAACCAAGCCTACAAACAGATTCTCAGCCTAAGTTCAGACCTTTGACTAGCTCTTTTTTTCATTTTCTTTATCTCCTTCTTTGTTCCCTAGTCTGTTGGCATTTCCTTCTTTGTGCTTTGCCGTAACTTTGTTTTGTACTCAAACTTTGATTTATTTAAATAAACTCTCTGTAGGGGCTACGGCCCCTCCAGTTTTCTCAAAAAAAAAACTTATCCATAGTAGTGAAAATAAGCAATATAATTTGATTATCTATGATCCCTAAATTTATGTACAAATTTATAACGCTTGCGTCTCTTAAAAAGTAAGAGCTGCTGACAGTTGAATGAAAGAGACAGGCGCTACGTACAAATACCGTTTCCATGTAGCTTTGACTATGAAAGCTGCGACTTGAAACCACATAACTTGGACATCTAGCAGTTCGGTTCTTAGCCCGTAGATATATAGCCACAGAAAGTATTACTCACTTTGATAAAGTTAAAAGTATTACTTACTTTGACTTCTCAAATCTCAAGCTATATCTGATGCACAGAAGCAATACTGCAAGAGAGCTTGGCCCTTGGATCCTTCTATGTAGTTTCAGGGTCAAAGCGTCACGTGTTGACTTCTTTTGTTTTGTTTAAAAAATGTGTAACCGCTTACATGAAACTATGAAAGAGAAATGCCATTACTCAGAAACTTTATAATGCTTTGACTAGTGACTAGGACTCTGAAAATGCACTTGGACCGTACCATGACTTGGCTATTCAACGGTTAGTTCGGTTCTTATACCGGTAGGTATAGCCACACAAAGTATTGCTGACTGACTTCTCGAGCTCACTCTCAAACACAAATAAAAGAATAATATGTGCATTTCAACCATTTTAATCAAACTAGCCCATGATCCTGTGATTCAGCACGGCCTAGAATCTTATGTTACATCTCAAAATATGAAACGTGTGCAGCTTGGCGCATGGTATACTCACATAAAACTATTTGTGTACGCTCTGATTGTCATTGTGTGGCGTCAACCAAGTGGACGGTCAACCAAGTTGTTTGGTTGCCTCATTGGCTAGTGCATGCCCCCATAGTACTGTCGACTGTGGGACGTGGGGAGCCCTCCCTTTCTCCTCCCCCAACCCCTCCTCTCATGTAATGTAGGATCAAGGATACGGACTAGAGAAGGGTGAAAATGCATTTTAAACTAAAATCACAGAGCAAAATTTAATTAGTAACAAAGAGAACCCTAAAATCTGCTCTTGTTAAGTGTGATACCCGGCCCAATTTGCATATGGCCCGTTAGTGGCCCATGAGCGCAAAAGTCGCTAAAAACCAAGTTTGGGTGGCTTGCGAAACAGTTTTCAGATTATGATCAGCATGACAAGGACAACACTGGCATATATTTATATGTGGAGTTTAGGTCAACTGAAAATTAGAGTTAGGTGTTCTATTTTTGGAATTAATTAATTCCACTACTAAAATAATTATAGAAAATCTAGAATTACCATTTAAATCATGAAAAATACTCCAAAGCTTAGAAATCCCAGGAAAAATGCTGAGATAGATTGAAGGATGAGGAACTCAAATAAAATATGTTGAGCTTATTAGAAGATTGTTGGGATACTGAAATAAAAAGATTAAGCTCAAGGACAATGAAAAGTTGGAAAATTTTCCAGAGATAGATATTCGCCTCCTAAATATATTTTAAAACATTTTCACATATAAACACCAAATGCAACCAGCATGAATTAAGGCCTTGTTCTTTTCTACTTTCTCGATTAGTCCACTTGAATTCAAGAGCCTGTGAACCTCTGTGACTTTGATACTTTGTACATGTGTATAATTTGAGACTCTGTGCTTTACGTGCACACTTGTGTTCTTCGATTCGCATACAAGAATCCAACCATAACAGCAAATCTAAGTATAAGCTACCCATATTGAGTTCTCTATATATCAACCAAATGTATCCTATTTATCGATTGGAAGGATGAGCCAACGTCTCCATCACGGCCAATGTTAGAACCATCCTACTAGCACTCAGGCCAACGGTATGGTCGCTTAATATATACTCTAGTAGTAGTATTTTTTTCTTCTCCCGATGACAGTAAGCTTTGTCCTTACACTTCGGATCCATTCAAACCTGAATGCTTTGGTACCTTGATATGCAAGCAGAGTTGCCTTGCATGTCGCTCAAGATGTTCTCCTCCCAAGGGGGTATTATTATAAGCAAATGGTATCGTAGTTCTACGCACGAACAGAAGCTACAAATAGGTGTCAAAATCTTCTCTACCACTTGAACTGACCTCCCAAGGGTGTATAACTGTATATATTATTATTATATATTATATTGTTATAAGCATATGGTAAACAGGTGTCAAAATCTTCTCTACCACTTGAACTAAATATTCGGAAGGCCCGAACTGCAAATTGGTTTAAGTGGTACTAACTCCAAACTAAACAAAAAAGGATATAATTCTAGAACTACTCAATCAAACTATTTTAAATTACAAATAGATGTATGCAGTGAGCATATATACCTCAGCTGGATGGGTTCTTGGTAGTGTAACCTATCCACCTGGGTTGGGTTAAAGTTCTCGACTTGACGTGGGTGCTCTAACAGCGCTGTTATTTTAGTAGTAAGCGATGTGTTCATCGACAGCGAACTGTCTATGGTGAATTCATCAATTTTGAGAACTATCAACTCAGTCTTTCAGAGGTGCTCATAGAAATAGAGTGTATACGTGTGTTTATAGGGCTAAGTGTATTTGTACGAGTGTGTGTCTGGGATTTGCAAAAAAAATACAAAAAGATATTACTAAAAATATATTTACCCATGAATGTAATCATACTTATTTATTATGATATTAATATATTTTATAGAAATTTAGTTTAACTTTGAATCATTTGATTTATAACACATGTATATTGAAAAGACTAGCAATACGTGTACCAGCAATACTCTTTTGGGAAAATTTTCTTTGAACACTAAAAGAGTGTGGTTTTCTCTCTCAACGCTATTCTCTGTGACTTTGGACGTAGGGCGCTATAAATGTGTGGTTTTGTCTACAAGACACTATGCTTACCACACCTTAGGCCAGTCTTAATGGGAGTTTTATGGTATTAAATAAACTGACATGGCGTGGAATAATTAAAGAGAGATGATAATAGTTTCATGAGATAAAATAAGTTTCATGGGGATGAAACTCATCTACACTATTTCCAACACATTGAGTCTTGAAAACTGGAACATAAAATCCACCACTGTGTGTTTTCTCCATGCACAGATTACAAGTCATCCTTTTTTATCAAATAAAGCAGCTCGAAACCAATGCCGGTTTTTATTCTCCCTCCTAAAGTTTGTAAAATGAAGGTCGGGGCGGTCATAATGTTCCTACAACTAAAATAGAATAACAGGCCATGTTTGATGCAGAGAGCTAATTGTTAGCCAGTGTATTTTTAGCTCTAGAGTTTATCTAAAAAGGCTAATATATATGTTATTTTTTAGCTAAGCCTTCGTCTCGCTGTTAGCCAACTAGCCGGTTAATCCCAGATAATTTAAACTATTTTTAAACCTGACTAAAAACTAATAGCTGATCCATAGCCAAAGCCACACTTGACCTTTATATTTCTTTTTGTTTTTTTTACAGGCAATGAATTCTGTAAAGCGTGAGTTTCTAAGATCAAACAAGAACTTGTGCTATCAGTATGCTGCATACACGGACCAAGTTTGGGTCCCAACTCCCCTCTCCATTTGATAGGGTATCGAATGTCTCGAATCACAGATCTCTAAACTTGACGAGCTTGCGTTGATCCGCCGGAACCGAAAACCAAGTCCTCCTTGCATCTGCGCAAGTTTCCACCTTGGCTCCGTGTCCAAAATTCACTTGACACTGAAGTCTATCAATAACCTCCTCTATGCTCGAGTAGTTTACGCCATTGTCCATGGCGCCATATTTACTTCCTTATTACACCTTATCCGAGACATCTACATATATGTACATTCCAATTCCAATCTTCCTGCAGTACACTGCTTAATCTATAGTACACACTGCAAAACCCTGTAGTTGCTCAGTCTCTGGTGCCATGCTTCACACTACACCTAGATGTAGTATACAACTATACATAAGATGAGGACCATGGAATCTCCTTGCTCACAACTCACACCTCCGAGTGTCGTGACTAGTTAGAGTGTAGCACTCGCTACTGCTCCAAAATGGCAAGCCTTGTGCTCTTGTTCATCTTACTCCTGCCTACCATATCGTTGCCAGTTGCTCATTGCAACGACAACGTCGGATTCCAGCTCAAGTTGACCCACGTCGACGCGGGCACGTCCTACACCAAGCTTGAGCTCCTCAGCCGCGCCATCGCCCGGAGCAAGGCCCGCGTGGCCGCGCTGCAGTCCGCCGCCGTGTCGGCGCCACCCGTGGTGGACCCGATCACGGCGGCGCGCGTCCTCGTGACGGCCAGCAGCGGCGAGTACATAGTGGACCTGGCCATCGGCACGCCGCCGCTGTACTACACGGCCATCATGGACACCGGGAGCGACCTCATCTGGACGCAGTGCGCGCCCTGCCTGCTCTGCGCCGACCAGCCCACGCCCTACTTCGACGCGAAGAAGTCCGCCACGTACCGCGCCCTCCCGTGCCGGTCGTCGCGGTGCGCCGCGCTCTCCAGCCCCTCCTGCTTCAAGAAGATGTGCGTGTACCAGTATTACTACGGCGACACCGCGTCCACCGCCGGCGTCCTCGCCAATGAGACGTTCACGTTCGGCGCGGCCAGCTCGACCAAGGTCAGGGCAGCTAACGTCTCCTTCGGGTGTGGCAGTCTCAACGCGGGCGACCTCGCCAACAGCTCCGGCATGGTCGGCTTCGGCCGTGGGCCGCTGTCGCTGGTGAGCCAGCTCGGGCCGTCCAGGTTCTCCTACTGCCTCACGTCGTACCTCTCGCCGACGCCGAGCAGGCTCTACTTCGGCGTGTTCGCGAACCTCAACAGCACCAACACCAGCTCCGGGTCGCCGGTGCAGTCCACGCCGTTCGTCATCAACCCCGCGCTGCCCAACATGTACTTCCTGTCGGTTAACGGCATCAGCCTGGGGACCAAGCGCCTGCCCATCGACCCGCTGGTGTTCGCTATCAACGACGACGGCACGGGCGGGGTCATCATCGACTCAGGCACGTCCATCACGTGGCTGCAGCAGGACGCCTACGAGGCCGTGCGGCGCGGGCTGGTGTCGGCCATACCGCTGCCGGCGACGAACGACACGGACATAGGCCTGGACACGTGTTTCCAGTGGCCGCCGCCGCCTAACGTGACCGTGACGGTGCCCGACTTCGTGTTCCACTTCGACGGCGCCAACATGACGCTGCCGCCGGAGAACTACATGCTAATCGCGAGCACGACGGGGTACCTTTGCCTGGCGATGGCACCGACCGGTGTCGGCACCATCATCGGGAACTACCAGCAGCAGAACCTACACCTGCTCTACGACATCGCCAATAGCTTCCTGTCGTTCGTTCCAGCTCCGTGCGACATTATATAGCTTTCCTTGTCAGGTCTCGCTTCTTTAGCCTTCAATAAGTTCGCTGCTAGTTTGTTGTTGTAGCTGCACTGGCTTCACATTAGAGTAGCCATTGCAACGCACTGATATTGCAGTGTTGTGTTATCCCCAATTATGTAGCAGAACATTTAGTGTGCCACATGATAATCATTTTGGTAATCTCCTATCCTTTTCTTTTAAAAAAAATAATTGCCTCAACATCTTGTAAGCTATAGCAACTTTTATAAGTTTTCACATTTTCATTATCAAATTAAGTTATGCTTTGACTGCTAAAAATGGCTCTTATGGATTCACAACATTTTGTTGGCCAAGGGGATATACAAAACCACCGAAGCAGGGTGTCGGGGCACATATATTGTTGGATTCATAAACCTAGGGTCCCCAATGGACCCGCTTCCCTACAAAACTCGGCCCAGCAGACGGCGCAGCGACAGCACGTACCTGGACCGGCCCAGATACACAATGACAGGCCAAGACCACGATCCGGTCCTCGACCGGCACCTCCGGCCAGGAGATCCGATCGGAGGTGCGACCGGAAGGCCTGACCGTGGTGGGACCGCAGTCCGACTCTGACCTACTTTCTCCGACCGAGAATACGCCAGGACCTCTGCTCGCTACTCTTTCCCGACCGACACGGTCGGGGCCGACTGGGAACGACCAACCAGGGACGCCCACTCAGTGTGGGCCCGGGGAGCAGGCGGAGCAGATAAGGTAAGACGCTCAAGTCAACCGCAATTCCGAGGACCGTACCCTGCCATGCCCTGCGCACCTGCAGGACGGTGTCGTCGGGGCATGTCAGGCGAATACGGTAGAACCTGCCAAACGCGTCAGAGCATAAACAGTATTGTGGGCGTCGTTGTTTGTCGTACCAGGCGAACACGGTAGAGCTTGCCAGACGCGTATGAGCATAAACAGTACTGTGGGCGCCGTCGTTTGCCGTACCAGACGAACACTGTGTAGCCTGCTAGATACAACAGAGCATGAACAGTAAGATGGACGATGGCGGCCATCCCATACCCAATGGCGTGGGCAACAAGACTAGGCAGCGCCCGTATACACTCTCTCTTTCTCTCTGACTTGTAAGGCCATCCCCTTCAACTATAAAAGGGGATGCGCTCTCTCCTACTAGAGGGATCCAAGGATCAAAGACTTGAAGACTTGAGGACTCGAGGACAACAGCACAACGGCTCTAGAGCTCGATGGCTACACAGTCTACACACTCTCAATAGCTAATAAGCTCGGACACCCAGAGCATATGACGTTTGAGCATCCGTCACTCTCTTCCACTCGGTTCAGAGTCCGACCGGGCCTCTAACACCCCCTTCTCATTCCTTGTTTGTAACCCCACAGCAAACTTCGAGCATCTAGGCTTAGGAATAAAGTCACCGACCGACCTCAACTAGACGTAGGGCATATTGCCTGAACAAGTATAAATCCTGTGTCATTGAGTGCTAGACCACATCCGATCACAACGCACGGTAAAACTATAAATATTTACTTGTTGGCCACATTTCAAACTGACAGTTGGCGCCGTCCGTGGGGAGGACGCCGTGCGTTCACACTTTTGGTCATCGGATGGCCCACATTTCCACTATCTTCGGCATGGTGGGCTCGAGCGATACGATTCGCTTCGGCTCGCTAGAGTTTCCCACGCTCCCAGTTGCTGGGATGTGGGTTCCTCCCGTCTTCGTGCCACTCCAGACCTTCCTCTTCGGGAGTCTGGACTTCGTCACTGACTAGCTCGGCGTACTCCACCTCCGCAAGGAGGCGCTTGCCCCGGCGCCCACTGGAGGAGGTGCGCCCTCTACCGGCCCCGGACCACTCGACGACCTCAACGTTGAGACACTCGCGCTTTGCCTCGAGCCCATGCTGGACTCAAACCCCACGGTGAGTGATATACATATTGTTCTTTACTCACTATTTAACATCTTCCGCCGACTCTTCGGAGGGACCCCATTGTCCCTACCGCGACCGCCGTGCGACCGGTTCCCCTACGGCTTCACGTCCCCCGTGGACGTGTGCGCGCAGGGGCTCCGAAGGATGCTGATGCCTCCCCCTCTCACATCTAAGTTTGTGGGGATGGCAGGCTACGCTCCCGCCTCCTTCCACGACCTCGTCGCTAACGAGGTCGAAAGCGATGGCTCCAGCATCGGCGACATCATGGCACCTGGCCACCCTCTATCCTAGGAGTGCGCCATGGCGGACGCCTCGGGACAGCCACCGGTGGTAGTGGAGTCTCTGCAGACTCACACCCCTCCGCCCCCCTGTGCGCAGGCCCTAGCGCGTGCATAGGAGCACAGCGAGGAGTTATGACAAAGGTGGCAGAGCCAGCTGCCCCCTACGCCGGCGCACCCGGTGCATCACACTGCACCACATGCGCGTAAACCAGCGAGTGGCTCTCGGGGTCACGCCCGTTAGGTCCAGCGTAACATACTAGATGGGTGGAATGACCCCCTTCAGTTTGCTCAGGCTGGCCAGAACATCGCTGCTGCGGCAATGCTTCTACATGGCCTCCCCGAGCTTGCCGACTCCCAGGAGCAGGCAATCCACTGGAACCTCCGGGCGCTGGTGGAGACCGCCACCATTCAGCAAGCAGAGAGCTCCGCGTCGCGACACCAGCTCATGGCCTCTTGCCCAACCGGGGGACTGGGGCCGCACCAGTCGAATCGCTCTGTCCACTCACCGCAGCAGTTGCTGGGCATGGAGCAGGAAGTCGCGGCTGCACCGCAGCCTAACCCGGCGCCCGCTCCACACCAACCACCTATGCGTGAATGGCTCGGGCCGAACCGTGATGCTCGTAGCGTCATCAACAATCGACACCACGCCCAGCACGATGATGACGTCCATCGAATGGCGGCGGGACCAGGTGGCGCAGGCCCCATCCTGACCATCGAGGAGTGCGAGGACACGCACCCCAGGCATGGCGGCCGATCGAACCACCGAAGCCTCAGCCTGAACTGCCCGAGGCCACGGGCCTTTGGTCACCGCATCTAGAAAGTATTGTTCCCACAACGCTTCCGAACGCCCACCAACATCGCTAGGTACACCGAGGAGACGAACCCCGGTATATGGCTTGAAGACTTCTGGCTCTCCTGCTGAGTCGGAGGAGTGGATGATGACTACTTCATCATCCAGTACCTCCCCATCTGCGTGGGGGAGCATATTCGAGCATGGCTCGAATTCCTTCCGCACGACAGCATCCGCGACTGAGCGGATCTCAAGAGGGTCTTCGTTGGAAATTTCTAGGGGACATATGTCTGTCCTGGGAATTCCTAGGACGTTAAGAGCTGCCAGCAGGAGCCCAATGAGTCCCTGCAGAATTACATCCATAGGTTCTCAAAGCAGTGCAACTCCCTTCCTTATGTCATCGACGCGAACATCGTTAGCGCGTTCCACTCTAGGACAACCTGCAAGTTCTTGATCCACAAGCTCGGCCACGTGAAGCCCCGTACCACCTATGACCTGCTCAACATCACCACGAACCACGCCTCCAATGAGGAGGTGGTCGGGGTGGTCTTCAGCGGTGGTTGGGACAGGGGCAAGGCCAAGCATGAGGACCAAGGCGAGGGCCCCTCCACACAAAAGGGCAAGAAGAACAAGAGGGATCGGAGCCGACCAGCTAACCCAGCTTTGGTCGCCGCGGCCGACCGCGCGGGCAAGCAGCCCCAGTAGGGCCAGCCCGACCACATCAACAAGCTCATGGAGAGTCCATGCACCAACCACGTCTATCCCACCAAACACCTCTACAAGGACTACAACTCAAGCGCTTCCTGCGGCAAGCTGCCAAGCCAAAGGAAGGGATAGACAAGAAGGAGGCGGCCAAGAAAGGAGGCGCGCTGGGCAAGGATGAAGATGGCTTCCCCGACCCCGAGGAATGTCTCATGATCTTTGGGGGATCCGACGCAATCCACTCTAAGCGCCAGCACAAGGTACGCTACAGTGAGGCATGCGCCGCCGAGTCAGCCATCCCCTCTTTGCTTAGCTGGCCGAACTCTTCGATCACTTTTGATCAGAGATACCATCCTTCCCTCGTCGCTCGATCGGGTCGCTACAGTGAGGCATGCGCCGCCGAGTCAGCCATCCCCTCTTTGCTTAGCTGGCCGAACTCTTCGATCACTTTTGATCAGAGATACCATCCTTCCCTCGTCGCTCGATCGGGTCGCTACTCGCTCATCGTTGACCCCATCGTTCGCAAGAAGCACCTCATCAAGGTGCTGATGGACGGAGGCAACGGCCTCAACATTCTCTACGTCGACACCATGTGCATTCCCCAGTTGGAGCTCCGCCTAGTGAGCTCTTCCTTCCACGACGTGATCCCGGGGAAGCGCAGCGTACCCACTCGAGCAGATGGACCTATCCGTCACATTTGGCGACCGTGCTAACTTCCGCTCGGAGGTCCTGACCTTTGAGGGAGTGGACTTTCTAGGGTCCTACCATGCCATCTTGGGGCGGCCATGCTACGCCAAGTTCATGGCGATCCCCAACTACACCTACCTCAAGCTAAAGATGTCGGGGCCAAATGACATCATCACCGTAGGTAGCACCTTCTCGCATGCCTACATGTGCGACCATGAGCATTACGAGCTCGCCACTGCCGTCATCAACTCCACCGAGCTCCCGGAGCTCAGGAATTTGGCAACTCCAGCAGTCCCCGGCCGCAACGGGCAGACCTCCTCGAGCCCCTTCCATCCGACTAAGGAAACCAAGGCGGTGGAGATTGACCCTAGCAACCTAACCAAGATGGTGCAGATCAGGACCAAGCTCCCGGCCAAATAGGAAAGCGAGCTCGCCGACTTCCTATGCGCAAATCATGATGTCTTCACGTGGAAGCCTTCTAACATACCGGGCATACCAAGGGAGGTCGCCGAGCACGCACTACGCATCATCCTAGGCTCAAAGCCCACCAAGCAACGCCTACGTCGCTTTGATGACGAGAGGCACAGGGCCATAAGCGAGGAGATCACCAAACTTCTGGTAGCCGG